TACAAAAATGCTCTTAACAATCCGCGAAATGCTCCAGCAAATAGACATCCGTAGCTTTCTAAGCATATAAGACTCATTCTCTAATTCATTCTGAGCTGTTCACAACTTGCTTTCAAAGTCAGCTGACCTGCACAGGCAGTTTTGACGAATTTGTCACTTAATATCCAACTTGTGCTATTTTTCTTTTCTTTGGTTGACAAATCCTACTAAATACAAAAACAAAGTAAAATAGCTCAAAAATATAAGGAACTAACTAAGAAAAGACAAGTGAATTTAATGTAAAATATATATAAATATGAGCTTATCACCAGGGCCCAAAAAAATTAGGGGCACTAAAATTATTAGGGTGATATATTTATATATGTTTTATAAGAGTATAAATTTATAAAATTTGGTTCAATGACATAGAAATTTAACTGAAGTGGTGGTTTGTCATTTGAAAATAACGAGGAGGTCTTGTCTTGGGTTCAAAACACCATGGCCTCGTTTGGCAGCTCGGACTGTACTGACTATTTCTGTCGGATAGGATAAATAGCCATCGGATAGTACTGACTAAATTAGTCGGGTGTTTGGTGCAGTATCAGACTAATAACCGTATTATTTATACTATGTTTGGTATTATACCGAATATGAGGAATCAAACTTAAAATAAAATTAAAAAAAAAACAGAAATCCTCTCTTTTGTTCCCAGATCTCTCCGCCGCAAACCCCCCAAAATCCCTCCCTCACTATCCTTTCTTCTTCTTCCCTGTCTGCTCCCTGAACGAAACTCCACCACAAAGGCAGCAACAAGAAACCCAGCAAAACCCACCTTTCAAATTCTCATCGTTTTTTTTCCCAATCCTTCTTTTTTTTTTTTTAGCTACAAATCAGCCCAGTAAAAGTGTTGAGGAGGACTGGGCTCGCTGGAAGAACTGAGGAGGAGGAAGAAGAAGAAGAATACGATGGAATTTGAACCATAACCATTTAGTACAATGATATAGTATTATTTTGAATTCAACGAACCATAACCATTTAGCTACAACCGGTTTCTTCTTCTTCTTTCTTCCCTGTATTCTTTTTCTTGTTCTTCAAATCTTTGAATTTCCCAATCATTCTCTTTCTTCCCCGTATTCTTCTTCTTCTTCTTCAAATTCCATCGTTTTTTTTTTTTAGTTTCTGCTTTGCAGGTTCGCCGGCAAAGGAATTGGGCTTTGGGATTTGTGGGAATGAGGGGGAAGAACAAAGGGAGGGGAAATGAAGAAGAAGATGTTCACCTCTATTGACTGCGTGGTGGTGGGCGGTGGAATCAGTGGGCTCTGCATCGCTCAGGTGCTGGCTACCAAGCACGGCGACGTTGTTCCGATTGTCATAGTCACGAAGGCTAAGGACCAGGTGGGAGGCAACATCATCATTGTTGAGAAGGACGGCTATGCTGGAGCAGAGACACGGCTGCGTTTGGAGAGGAAGGACCCGACTAAACTGTCATGTGGTTTTGGAGAGGATAAACAAGCGGGTGTTTACCGTATAAAGTAGGTGGGATCGGATTGTTTAATCTGGTGGCTATTTAATACAACTGGACACCAAACACCATACTCCGTATTATTAGTACTATCTGATGTCTTATACGGTGTGCCAAACGGGGCCCATGTGTGCTTATTTACTTTCCAATTTTTACAAATTTCTTTTCATAAGAGTATAAATTTATAAAATTTGGTTAAATGATCAAGAAGTTTAATTAGAAACAATGGTTTTTATTGTTTAAAATTAACAAGAGGTCCTAAGTTCGAAATGCTATGTGCCTGTTTATTCTTTTCAATTTTTACAAATTTTTGTTTGGTTGTTAATTTATTTTTAGTTTCTATGTAGTAGCTATGTGGGTTGTTATTTTTAAATATTCGTTTTAATTCAAGTCTAATCTTCGACAAAGAATAATACGTAGACCAAATTTTTAGAGCAAATTTGCAAATTAGTTAATAAGAAAAAAAAACACCTCACGATTTATTCAAAAACACATTCAAAGTTCAGATGGAAAACAAAACTCATCATCTATCTACTTGTAAGCCCGAAGTTTTTTTGTTTCCTTCTCTCAATACAAAATAAATTAGTCTTTCTGTGTTTCTAAATTATTGAGTTTGAAGTGTTTTCTAAGTATAATTTTATCGATATTTTACGTGTGAAAATAAATAAATTTCTTACATGAAGTTATGACACTTTTTTTTAAGTCACCCCGGGCCTCAAAAATCTATGGAAATAAGTTATTTCTTCATAAAATTTGTAATTGTCCTTACGAATAAAAAAAACGTTCATTAGATATTTTTGGATAAAATAAGTTGGTGAGGCATTTTTCATTAGTCTTATAATTTTTTATTTTTGTGGTGGGAGGGTAAATTGGCACGTTTAAATAGGACTCAAAACTAAAGTGAAAGTTGTTAGATCCCACATCGTCCAGGGGAGTGGATCCTCTATACATTATATGTACATGCCCACCTCTTTTAGCACGAGGCCTTTTGGGAGCTCACTGGCTTCGGGTTCCGTAGGAACTCCGAAGTTAAGCGAGTTCTCCCAGGATGGGTGACCCACTGAGAAATTCTCGTGTGAATTCTTAGAAACAAAACTGTGAGGGCGAGGTCGGGACCCAAAGTGGACAATATCGTGCTAGGGCGGAGTCGAGCCCGAGATGTGGTGGAGCCTGGGTCGGGATGTAACAAAAGTGGTAAAAATAAAAAGGTCAAAAGTTAAGCATAATTAGTAAAAGGTATAGTAAGTGAAGCACGTGTATAACTTTACTAAAATAATAGGGGAAAAGACTGTTTACTACCCTCATGTTTCGTGGTTTTCAACATTTAGTACATCAAGTTTTTTTCGTCTCAGATTCATACCTAAAGTGTAAATTTTGGGACAGTCTCATACATCTGTTAGTCAAACTGTTAAGTCTCCCGTTAACTGTGACGTGACGCACTGACTGGACACCACGTGTCATCCAGGTTTTTTTTTTCCTTCTTCTTCTTCTTCTTCTTCTTCCTTCGACTGCAACTTTTTTAATTTTTTTTTCTTCCTCATTCTCCTTCTTCCTTCCTCCTTCTTCCTTCCCCTTCTTCCCCTTCTTCCTTCTTCTTCCTTCTCATTCTCCTTCTTCTTCTTCTTCCTCCGAATCTGGGGAAGTTTTTTTTTTCTTCCTCCTTCTTCCTCCTTCTTCATTCTCCTTCCTCCTTCTTCCTTCATATTCTTCTTCTTCTTCTTCTTCTTCTTCCTCCGAATTTGCCCAGATTCATTTTTTGTTCTTCTTTCTTCTTCTTCCTTCTTCTTCCTTCTCCTTCCTCCTTCTTCCTTCCTCTTCTTCTTCTTATTCTTCTTCTTCTTCTTCTTTTTCTTCTTCTTCTTCTTCCTCCGAATCTGCCCAGATTCATTTTTTTTTTCTTCTTTCTTCTTCTTCCTCCTTCTTCCTTCTCCTTCCTTCTTCTTCCTTCCTCTTCTTCTTCTTCTTCTTCTTCTTCCTCCGAATCTGCCCAGATTCAGTTTTTTTTTTCTTTTTTCTTTTTTCTTCTTCTTCCTCCTTCCTTCTTCTTCTTCCTTCTTCTTCTTCTTCTTCCTCCGACTGCAACTTTTTTTTTCTTCCTACTTCTCCTTCTTCCTTCCCCTTCTTCCTTCTTCTTCTTCCTCTTCCTCCGAATCTGGGGAAGATGAAGGTTTTTTTTTTTTTTTTTTTTTTTTTTTTTTTTTTGTGAGGAAGATGAAGAAGAAGAAGGAAGAAGGAAGAAGGGGAAGAAGGAGAAGAAGGAGGGGAAAAAAAGTTGCAGTCGGAGGAAGAAGAAGAAAGAAGAAAAAAAAAACTGAATCTGGGCAGATTCGGAGGAAGAAGAAGGAGAAGGAGAAGAAGAAGAAGAAGAGGAAGAGGAAGAAGAAGAAGAGGAAGAAGAAGAAGAAAAAAAGAAAAAAAACTTCCCCAGATTCGGAGGAAGAAGAAGAAGAAGGTGAAGGAGAAGGAAGAAGAAGAAGGTGAAGAGAAGAAGAAGAAGGGAAGGAAGAAGAAGAAGAAGAAGAAGAAGAAGAGGAAGAAGGAGGAAGAAGAAGAAGAACAAAAAAAAAACTTCCCCAGATTCGGAGGAAGAAGAAGAAGAAGGTGAAGGAGAAGGAAGAAGAAGGAAGAAGGGGAACGAAGAAGGAGGAAGGAAGAAGGAGAAGGAGGAAGGAAAAAAAAAAGTTGCAGTCGGAGGAAGAAGAAGAAGAAGGAAGAAGAAAAAAAAACCTGGATGACACGTGGCACCCAGTAAGTGCGCCACATCACAGTTAACGAGAGACTTAACAGTTTGACTAACGGATGTATGAGACTGTCCCAAAATTTACACTTTAGGTATGAATCTGAGACGAAAAAAACTTGATGTACTAAATGTTGAAAACCACGAAACATGAGAGTAGTAAACAATCTTTTACCCAAAATAATACTTTGAAAATTTAGGCATTTTTTTAATTTTAATATTTATTTATTCGATAATATGTTAAAAATATGAGTAAAATCCATGAATTTTATATGTATTATTGAAAGAGATGTGAAAATAACGTGTTTTAAACGTGAAAAAAATATGTATTATGCATTGGAGTTTTAGGGGGGTGTATTCAATTGAGAATTTGAGAGACTTTAATGGATTTATAGGGGGTGTATTCAATTAGGGCTTCAAGTACAATGAAAAAAATGCTACTAACATGAGCATCCCCTTCACTCCAAACCTTTTGCTCTCACCATCACTTAACTTTCTGCTTCTTGGTATCTGTAGAATTATCAGAGAGACAGGCCAAGGGTTCACTTTCAACAACACCGATATTGTCCCCAACTTGGTAATTACCACATGCACAATCTGTCAGGTGTATGGTTTTATCACAAAATGCCTCGGTGTGGGACATTTCAACATTATCCACCTTCTCTCTCACACTCCAAACACCATTTGCAAATTCTATCAAAGCTAATAGCATTTTGTGACTACATTTTCCAGAGTTAGCCATTCAACAAAGAACATAAAAAATATTTATCCAACAAAAACCACTAATCATTAAAATTCTAAAAACACCACACAAATTAAAATTCAAAAGCTTCAAGTCATATAAGTAAAACACACCACAAACATCAACGAGAAAAAATTCAAAGCGATAGCAAGAGAAAGAAAGCAAAAATAGAAAGAAAATTTTGGTGAGTAGATAGTGGAAAATATTATTGATGAGTGATCATGTCCTTTCTCCTTTGGGTAGCATGCTTTGTCCTTGTCAAGTCTTCTTAAACTTTGAGGTACGTGTCTCTGATTGCGCTCATTTTTCTGACAACCGCGTCCATCAGCATCCGCTCCCTTGGTGACGTTGCACAACAAGAGAGTCCTATCTGCATCACTGAAACCAAGCATTCCTTTAATTTCTTTGCTTTCACCGAGCCACCATTGTTACATCTGGATGGAGTTCGTTCTCGCACTATGTCATTGTTGACATCAGCATCTGTTTCGAGGTCGAGGATAATTGAATGGTCAACAACGTCCATGACATGGTCAGGCAAAGCCATGGCTACAAATTGGTAAATGCTTAGACCGCCTTTAAACACGTCATCGGTAGGTCTTTTTCCTGTGAACATTTCCAGCAATAGTATCCCATAGCTGTAAACATCTCCAAGTATGGAAACTTGGCCTCCTGTGCCGTACTCTGCTAGGATAGACATACAATATGTTGTATGCAATTGACTATTAGAACAATATATTCTTTAGATTTATATGTTACTTATTTTCCAAGAAAAAAAGAGGCAGTAATGTATTTTTCATCAATAGAGATTAATTAGTTGTTTTTTTTTTTGTAATAATTTACTAAGAACATAAAGTTAGAATGACAGAAACTCATACCTGGAGGAATGTAGCCTATAGAACCCTTTAGCTGAGATGACATTGTTTGACTGAAGGAGGGATCATTTGATGTTTCGAAGAGGAACCTTGCCAAACCAAAATCCCCAACATGGGCTACCATATCTTCATCAAGTAGTACGTTGCTCGGCTTTAGATCACAATGAACAATGGCCGTTTCACAATGGTGGTGGAGATAATCTAACGCAGAAGCAACATCAATGGCGATGTTCAATGTTTGCATAAAACTCATTCTTTTGCTTGGAGATTCCTCTTCATATAATGGATACAACATTGAGTCTAGACTTCCATTTGCCATGAACTCGAAAACTAGACTTTTGAAGTCCTTGCCCTGGTTATCAATGCTCGAGCATGCAGTTATGATCTTGAGAAGATTACGGTGCCTTATACTCCTTAAAGCTTTGCATTCATCTATGAAACTCTTGGAAGCTCCTTGTTGTTGAAGGTTTAGTACCTTAACAGCAACTATTGTTCCATCACTAGGAATTACCCCTTTATAAACAGAACCAAAACTTCCCAAACCAATAAGATTATCCGCAGAGAATCCGTTAGTTGATTCAACGAGTTGTGAGTAGGAGACACCTGATTTCCAATCCTTATATGAACGTGAAGTTGCAAGTCTATCTCTTGACTTTTTCAGCATTGAACAAGCGACACAGAAGAATGATAGAGCAATTATGATTCCAAATACACAGGCTATGGGGATGACTACTTTTGAGGAATGTAGTCCTCGAGATGAATGGTGTTTTTTTGGGGGGCATGAAGGTAGATGTAATTGTGGGATGCCACCACAGAGCCTATGATTTCCAAGAATAGAAACACCACTAGCATTTGCAAAAATACCATCTTTAGGCAGCTCTCCCTCAAAATCATTATACGAAAGATTGAGATACTTGAGAGCACCAAGCTTGCCTATGAATTCAGGAATCGGCCCAGACAAGTTGTTGCTTGAAATATCAAGTTTTTCCAAGCCTTTCAAATTCTTAAGAGATTGAGGAATCGTTCCTTCAAACTTATTACCTTGCAAAGACAAGCGCTCCAAACTAGTACAACTGCCGAGGGTGCTCGGGATTTCACCTAATAAATTGTTTCTTGATACATTTAGCTCTGTGAGATGCACTAAATCACCCACCTCAAAGGGCATCAGACCCGTCAAATAATTATCAGACAGGTCTAAAGAAATTGAAACAGTTGAAAGCTCCATAAGCATTTTAGGTATGGTGCCCGTAAGGTTGTTACTGGAAAGGGAAAGATCTAATAGGTTTTGGTAATTTCCCAGACTTGGAGGTATATTGCCCTCAAACCTATTGAACTCCATGTAAAGGTTTAACAATGAAGTCATGTTACCAAGGGAAGACGGGATTGACCCAGAAAATTCATTAGCATCCAAATACAGTTGCTCTAACTTCTTTAGCTTCCCAATTTCAAGCGGGACACTACCACCCAAATGGTTATTGTCTAATGCTAGAATATTCAAGTTTATAAGGTTTCCAATGCCGTTAGGGAGCCTTCCATGTATCAAATTTAACCCTAGACCAAGAATATTAAGTTGGGTCGACAAGTTGGCTATGGATCCCGGGATTCCTCCTCCAAAATTATTACTGTCAAGAGCCAAAATCTCCAATCTAGTGCAATTAGCCAAGAAACTAAGAAAATTCAAGTCACCAACTTTTCTATTTCCTAACTGATTGCCATAAATGTTTAGCCAAACTAAGCTTTGCAAGTTTCCTAGACTCTCACCAGGGATTGTCCCAGAGAAGCCATTTTGAGAAAGATCAAGCAACTGAAGTCTAGAAGCATTTGACAATGATATAGGAATATTTCCTTTGAATTTGTTCATAGCGCACTGAAATTTTATGAGATTAGGAAGCATAGTGCCGAGATTTGGTGGTAGCTCTCCATGCAACTGGTTGAAAGCAACACTAAAAGTGGATATGGAAGAAATATTATAGATTGGGGATGGGATCATACCAGATAGATCATTAAGGTGAACTAAGAACTCCTCCAAGCCTGTTATATGCCCAAGCTCATTGGGTATGCTTCCTTGAAAATTGTTCCGACCAAGATGAAGACCACTCAACAAAGAAAAGTTTCCTATCCAAGGTGGGATGGTTCCAGTGAGATTATTACCATAAAGCCATAGATATTTTAAATTCAACAATGAACTGAGTTGGTTCGGAATGGACCCCATAATCCGATTGGCTTTTAGATCAAGCAATCTTAGTTGCGTGCATTGCGACAAATTGGTTGGAATTTTCCCATGGAAGGAATTATGAGAAAGGTTGAGATATTGTAGGCTTTGTAGACGACCCATTTCTGGAGGAATTTCCCCATGAAAGTTGTTGTCACTCAAATTGATTCCAGTAAGATAAGTAAGATTTCCAATAGAAGATGGAATGGAGCCTACCAACTTTTTTGATTTCAGGTTCAACATCAAGACTCTTTTGGTGGAACGGTGGCATGAAACTCCAACCCAACTACAGAAATGGATGGAATGATTCCATGAGCTCATGGCATTGAAAGGATCAACTGTTATTCTTTTCTTGAAGTCTAGCAGTGCCAAGCGATCAGATTCATTTCCAAGGAGAGTAAGGTTGCGAAGTGTTGTAGATTCGAGGCAAGTGCTCATGCATAAAAGAATGAACCCATGCAGGAATTTGAACAAAACCAGCTTACAGTTGGTACGTGAATGCTCCATCATTGTTCTAAGACAGTGAGCAACATAGGTTAATTAATTTGCACAAATGCATAAAAGAGAAGAAATGCTATCACATGGTAGAAAACTTGATTCAATATGTTTACAAAAAATGAGATGGCAAATGTAAGGACCACTAATAATAGATCTCTGTCCTCTCGTACATCTTACAAAGAATGGAGGAGATTTTTTCAAATGGGAGGGAAACCTTGTCAATTCTTAATTAATCTTTTGGCCACACAAAAGTCCGATCGATGATATTGCTCACAAGTAATATGTAGAGAGAAAAGTTTAAAGGATATTTGGATTATTAACTAAAGAGTTTTTGACAGTTTAAGTCTCACTTCCATTGGTTTCTACTTTTGCCCAAGGCATGAACTGCTGCTTAATTTGTAGTGCTCGGTAAAAAAAATAAAAAAAGAGAAAATCTTGATAGACCCATCATATACGTACTGTATTTATTTTATATTTTCTTTTTTCTTCGTTCTCCCTTCTCACTCTTCTCCTCAACTCAGCTGGCGACGACGACCAACCAACAAAAAAAAGCCCTCGATTGGTGTTTTTGGTTCCTCTCTAAAATCCCCCCTCTATCTCTTTCGAAAATTCCTCGCCGCTGCTCTCTCCATGATGGTTCAATTCGGGTTTGCTTAAATCCTATGACGAGTAAGTACCTCCGATCTGTGATTCTTAGTGTTCTGGAATGGTTTATCGGCTCAGAATAATTTGAAATTTTGGGAGTTAATGTTTTGAGAAACAGCTCTCAATTTCTGGATTTTGTTTTTGTTGATTTTTGAAGTGGTTGTGAGAACCGGTTCTTTTGAACCAATTTAATCGGTTTTAGTTATTGCATGTGGAGGGTTTTTGAATTTGTAGAGTCGATCTGAAAATATGGTGGGATTTTAGGGGATTGAGAGTGTTTACAAACTGTTTGTGCCGGGTTTGAATTTAAATTTTACAGACGGTTTGTTTTCTAAAATTTGGTTTTATAACAATATGTTGGGCATAATACAAATTTTCCTTGAAATTCTGAGAGGAGATACATTTTGTGTCCACAAAATTCTGACAGCACTATTCCTTTTCTTTTTATACCTACCTTTTTTGTTAAGATATCATTTAACCTCCCTTTTGGACATGCTCACACTATAGTAAAATGAAGTTAAGTTATAAGCTTTCTTGGGATATTCAGAAAGTATGAAAATATGAATATTATCAAAGGAAATTGTATTAAATTCAAAGGTTTTATTTGCACTCATTTTTTTTTCTTTTTCTTTTTTTTTTCGTATGTTTGTGAGGAGATTAGAAACAAGCTCAAAGGTTTTGCACTTTTTTCTTTTCTCAATATCTTTGATTCTATATCAAATTTTCATCATAATTAATTATCCTTTGTGAATGTTGATACTGTAGTGAACAATCACAAGAAGGTAAAATAAGTGAAGAAGAAAGTTATTGAAGACAAGTATGCTTAAGCAAATCAAACAATTTGTGCTTTTTTTACTGTAGCTCTATATATGGAATTGGAATTATTTTCATTCATGACTTCTCCTTGCCCCAGTTACTGCTATAAGATTATGAGTCCGAGGTTAAACATTAAGGTCAGCTATACAAGATTCAATTGATATAGAAATGTCTTATTAAAAGAGGAATGTTGGTCCTTGATATATTAGCATTGTATTATGACATCTGAAATTGATTTCCCACTGGACAAGGAAATATTCGGTTTCCTATATGGATTTTAACAGGGATTCCTCATTACTTTTGGCTAGGATTATGTTAGATATATTACTTTTGGCTAGGATTATGTTAGATATATAGTGGCCTCTCTACTGTTACAGATACTAAGCTCATTATTGGACTTAAATCTATTATGAGTCGAGCATATTGTTTTCTGCAAGAGAGGAAAGGTTCACTGAGTTTTGTTGGGAGTTTTTGACTATGGCATCATCTTCTGGAGCTTCTACATCTTAATCTCTTGCCATTCTAGCTATATAAACCATATATTTGCATATATGGTGTTACAACTGCATGAATTTTAATTTAATAGTGCTAATATTTGCAAAATTTCCAACTAACGTTGGTAGGGGCATTTAGATTTAGGTCAAAAAAAAAATGGCTCTTAGGTTAAGTCTAGTATTATATTTCCTCCATTTTTATTTCTTTTATACCCTTTTATATATATATATATATATATTTTTTTTTTTAATATTAGAGATGAAGTTCTTCTAATTTCATGCATCTTCTAATTCCAACAATATCATGAACGGGCACTCAATCTGTATTCAAAAGTTCATCCAAATCATACATAAAAAACAAAAATATTAAACAAAAAAACAAAGCAAGCAGTGGTGGTCACCTATTTTTTCGTAACCTTTGGCCGCTACAGTGACGTTTTGGGTGCCTACTTCGTGACCAATCGCTTTAGTATTTGAGAAAGAGACGCAGATTACGTGCTGAATGGCATCATGAAAATTGTTCAAACAATATCATGAAAGAGCACTCAATCTGTCTTCAAAAGTTCTTCCAAATCATACATACAAAACAAAAATATCAAACAAATAAAACAAAAACAAAACAAGCAGCGGTTACCTTTTTTTTTCATAACCTTTGGCCACTACAGTGATGTTTGGAGTGCCTACTCCATGACCAATCGCTTGAGTCACCGTGCAGTCACGACTCACGAATAAAAGGATGGTGACATAACTGCTCCCTCCTTGTCACGAGAAGAAAGGCTTTGAAGGCAAAAGCTAGAAATGGAGGGTGTGTGGACTGTAGACTATTAACTAGAAACGGAAAGCAAAAGAAGTATGCAGAAAGAGAGAGAGAGAGAGATGGGGTTTAAATGTGAGGGCAGAGTAAGGAGAGGAAGCAAAAGCAAGAGTGGTAATCAATATATACACACTCTAAGGGGCTGAATAAATTGCTTGCGGACTCGTCAATTCTGAGATTCGAATCTAAGATATCTTGTAATAGAAATATCATTAAATAGTATTACTAAGTGACAAAAGACTTTTCCTTTTAATATGTTGAGTTTTATGAGTTAACCAACCCAATCAACTCGGAAATTTCAAAGAGAAAAGGGGAATCATGTAATGGAAACTGTTGAATTAGTAATTACCGAACAAAAAAAAAATCCTTTTTTGAGGAAAATTTGAAAGAATAACAGAAAATAGGTTTAAGACTTGTTAAAAATATTAGGGTAAAAGACTGTTTACTACCCTCATGTTTCGTGGTTTTCAACATTTAGTACATCAAGTTTTTTTCGTCTCAGAGTCATACCTAAAGTGTAAATTTTGGGACAGTCTCATACATCCATTAGTCAAACTGTTAAATCTGCCGTTAATTGTGACGTGGCGCCCATGTGGACAATGACTGGGCGCCACGTGTCAGCCACGTTTTTTTTTTTTTTTTTTTTCATCTTTCTTCTTTCTTCTTCTTCTTCTTCTTCTTCCTCCGACTGCAACTTTGTTTTTTTTTTCTTTTTTTTTCTTCCTCCTTCTCCTTCTTCCTTCCTTCTTCTCCTTCTTCCTTCTTCTTCCTTCTCCCTTCTCCTTCTCCTTCTTCTTCCTCCGAATTTGGGGAAATTTTTTATTTTTTATTTTTCTTCTTCTTCCTTCTTCCTTCTCCTTCCTCCTTCTTCCTTCTTCTTCTTCTTCTTCCTCCGAATCTGCCCATATTCGGTTTTTTTTTCTTTCTTCCTTCTCCTTCTTCCTTCTTCCTTCTTCCTTCCTTCTTCCACTTCTTCTCCTTCTTCCTTCTTCTTCCTCCGAATTTGGGGAAGATGAAGTTTTTTTTTTTTTTTGAGGAAGATGAAGAAGAAGGAAGAAGGAAGAAGGAGAAGAAGGGGAAGGAAGAAGGAAGAAGGAAGAAGGAGAAGAAGAAGGAGGAAGAAGGAGGAAGGAGGAAGAAGAAGAAAGAAGAAAAAAAAAACAAAAAGCCGAATTTGGGCAGATTCGGAAGAAGAAGAAGAAGAAGAAGGAAGAAGGAGGAAGAAGGAGAGAAAAAAAAAAAAAAAAGAAGACTTCCCCAGATTTGGAGGAAGAAGAAGAAGAAGAAGGAGAAGAAGAAGAAGGGGAAGGAAGAAGGAAGAAGGAGGAAGAAGAAGAAAGAAGAAAAAGGGAAAAAAAAAAATCGAATCTAGGCAGATTTGGAAGGAGGAAGGAAGAAGGAGAAGGAGGAAGAAAAAAAAAAAAAAGTTGCAATCGGAGGAAGAAGAAGAGGGAGAAGAAGAAGAAGAAAAAGAAGAAAGAAGAAAGAAGAAAAAAAAAACGTGGCTGACACGTGGCGCCCAGTCATTGTCCACATGGGCGCCACGTCACAATTAACGACAGATTTAACAGTTTGACTAACGGATATATGAGACTGTCCCAAAATTTACACTTTAGGTATGACTCTGAAACGAAAAAAACTTGATGTACTAAATGTTGAAAACCATGAAACATGAGGGTAGTAAACACTCTTTTACCCAAAATATTAACCAAAGTCACTTTCATTTTCATAGACTTGAGAAAGTGAAATTTTAAAGAGACTCTCAAAGTAGTATTTTTCATGTATTCTCAGCTACCTTATAGTTTAACGTTAATTTCCGTACTAACATTATAAAATATTATGTCAAAAACATAAAATAGCAAAATATTCATGAAGAGTTCTACATTTAAGAATCCCTTTAGCATTCTTGAGAGAATATATGTTAAAACCGATAATTAAAAACCTTGCTTATGTCACATTGTGGAAATTGGAATTGTGCAATTACTTTTTGGGTTGATTGATTGACGTGTTGACTTTAGAGTCTTTGCCATGGATTGTCTGCCCTCCCGTTTCGGTGCCATCCTCGTGCCATCCTGTTTGTGTGGTCACGGTTAAGCCACGTCAGCATTTTATATTACTATTTCTTTTTGTTTTATTATTTTTATAAAAAAATATATATAATGTTGACGTGGTTTAACCGTGACCACACAAAACAGGAGGGCACGGAGAGGACACCGAAATGGAAGGGCAGACAGTCCAAGTCCCTTTGCCATACTTATCGAGAAATTGTCGTGTCCTCACTCCTCATTGGAATTTGTGAAGTCGGTAATGAGATCATGATCTCCTCTTTCTTCTAATCAATTTAATCCGGAATTTTTGGGTGTATATTGAATTAGAGTATGATTCTCTCTCATCTTTTTTTCTCTCCTCTTCCATTCTCTCTTATGTGAACGATTACGGTTAAGCTACGTCGTCTTATATTAATTTTTTATAGAAAGAGAAAGACAAAATCAAGAATATGAAAGGAGGGGATGAAAAGAGAAGAAAAGAGAATTCTAATCCTATTGAATTACGCATTGCAACGTGAGATCCGCATAATTTAAATTTTAAATGTGTTAACAAATGTAGAGCAATCAAGAATGAAAATAATTCCAAAACAAATTCCAACTCATTTAAGGAAGTAAACATGCTATAAATAATTTAGTGGCCACATTTAGGAAGCAGAAATAAATACAATTTTAAGTAAAATTTAAATGTTTAATCCTCAGTAGTTTTTAAGTAAATACAACTAAGGAATCACGGAAGAGTAAGTCCAATGTTAATCCACAACTGGGGTCTAGAGGCTAGAGCGATTTCTTTTTTATTTTCTGTTTTTGGGAAAAACGCTATACCTACACTAATCTTTGCTATTGTTTCTAATCTCTTCAAAATGAAAAATCATTCCCATAACGTACCGTGAGTTTTATAAACATATATGTAGAAAATGACACATAATTAAAGGTTACAAATTTACACCAACTTTGCATTAAATTCCTCTTTATGCTTCAATTGGTCAACGTAACAGTGTGAGATGAGTCACATTGTGTTATGAGATTGCTTTATGGATTGATTTGTTGACTTTAAGTCTTCCCTGCTGCACTTTGTCCAGTGGAAAGTGGAGGAAAGTGGAAGAAAGTGGCGGAACTAAGAAAAGGGAATTTGAAACCTGTCTACCCCTAACTCAACGCTTAAACAGTATTAACTTTTTGAAAAATAATTAAAAAATAAATAAACCGTTATAAACTTTCCTAGTTTAAGTGTGTTGATGCACAAAACCGGATGGTCTTGGTACAACGTAAATCCGACCGTGAATCTGCAAGTAATGTAAATGACACAAGATGTATCGTGGTTCACCCCAAGGTTTGGGCTACGTCCACACTGATTATGTATTTATTTCTCTGAGAAGTGAGGGAGAGAGAGAGCTCTAAGAGTGAGAGCGTTGAGAGAAGCTTCAGAAATGGCCTCTGAGGATGAGAATGAGCCTCTCCTAGAATGAGGGTAGGAGTCCCCTTTTATAGAATAAGGGGCTCCTCCTCTTTTACAAAGTATGGGTTTTAGTGTGAGGCCCAAATACAAGGCCCAAGGCCCAAATATACGAGGCCCTAAATATGGTATAAACAGTAGTCCCCTAAGTCTTCAGTCAAGAGAGTCTTTTGGCTGGAGACTTGAAATTCAGTCCATGTGTGGGCCGAAGTAACTGATGCTCGATATGAGGCGGTGCCCAATCTGAAATGATGCTCAACTGTCA